TCACCAGGCCTTTCTTTCTAGTCCACTGTAGTCAGGAAGCTCCACTGAAACCTGTTCAGCATCACAGCAGCGTGCAAGCCTCCACCGACAGATGGGTGGTGGCTGCGCATGAGCTGCACTGGCTGGGAACTGAACCCGGGTCTACCTCGTGGAAGACACAAATTCTACCACTGGACCACTCCTGCCCTCTCCCCCATCTCAAGTGCTCGAGATCACTTGATCTAGTAAGTTAAAGCACAGTCTCTTCAACAAGTTGTGAAACAAGAATCCTTCATGCTGGGAAATCTACCCAACGCTCATATCTATGTTCCTTTTTCGTTTTGAAAAAGGGCTTTGAACTGGTTCATTCCAGTTCAAACCCCTGCTGAGAATTTGCATTTCCACTGCAGATAACTGAATCAGTATCTATAGTTTAACAAGATCCCTAGGTGATTCTTATGTATAATACACTTTGAAAATCACTGCTCTATTAGTGGTTCTCAAAATTGGTCCCTAACCAGCAGCGTTAGCATCTCCTGGGAACTTGTTAGAAATGCAAATTGTTAGCAGGGGTTCCAGCCGGAATGAACTGGTTCGAAGCCCTGTTTTTAAAAGGTTTCCTGGCTAGAAACCAAAACCAAAACCAAACCCATTGCTGTCAAGTTGATTTCAACTCCTGCTGACTCCCTATGTTACGAAGTAGAACTTCTCCATTTCTTGGCTGTAATCTTTATGGAGGCAGACGGCCAGGCCTTTCTTCCACAGTGCTGCTGGGTGGGTTTGAACTGCCAACATTTAGGTCAGTAGCTGAGTGCATCTCCTGGCTATAACCAGCCCTTAAATAAGAAAACACTAATCTAAGACGATGCTAATTTTCAGAAGAAAAGCCAGTTCTGATCATTCTCACCAGAGAATCCCCATGTTCCAGCCAAGCCCGACTGTGAACAATACCGCTCTGCACCGATGTGGCACTGAACCGCGTGTGCAGAGCAGTACTGTGTGCATGTATCCTACTGAGGCACGGCAGGACGAGTTCTCATACGGCTCCCACAGGCAGGACAGGGCCGCAGCTGTGTCCGAGGGCCATTACACAACCGTGGTGCCATAGAGCGGGAGGAGGACAAGGAAGTGAGAAGGCCGGCTGGGCACAGGGCACTGTGCATCCCTGTAAGGCTGGACGAGGCCACGTGTGGGGAGAGTAGGGCCAGGCCGGCACCGCCTCAGCGCGGCCGCCTCCAGCCTGCCTGGATGCCCGGGCTTGAGCCGAGAGAGCCAGACGTCCTCCACCTCACTGGGTGACCCCTGAAGGGCCACAGGCACTCTCTCAGCTTCAGCTTCTTCGTCTGTAAGGTAACGATACTGTCTTCCTGCCTCCATCTCAGCCAGCCTACCAGAATAAACAAAGTCACCCGCACTCAGCTCTTGTGACCTTTCAAACCACCGTGACCCAGAGGTGGAGTGAGGAGGTTAGAGGGGGCATTTGCCCCCAGGCGCAAGTCCAAAGGGGTGCCAGACAAGGCGGGCCAGTGAATCAACACCCCACCCCAGCCCGTTATCCTCCCTGTGTCTCTGCTTTGACCTCTGTCTTCCCTGAGGAGTCAGCGGAGCTCTGAGGATTGTTCTGCGGGGGACACGTTCCAGGGCTGACCTCAACCCACCTGGGAACCACAGGGAGAGAACTGTGACGCTCCCCAGTCACCCTGATGGCTGGAAGTTAGAGCCATCCGGGGCTCACCTGCCCCCAGACCCGGATGCCAGCCAGCGGGGGTCACTGTGTGGGCCAGGCAGCAAGACCATGGCTTCATTTGTCCAGTGTCTGAGGCTGGAATCTGCCTGAACCTGGGATCTGCGTGAGCCGGGGATCTGCCTGAACCGGGGATCTGCCTCAGGGTGGGATCTGCCTGAGCCAGGGATCTGCCTGAGTCTGGGATCTGCCTGAGCCAGGGATCTGCCTGAGCCAGGGATCTGCCTGAGGCTGGGATCTGCCTGAGGCTGGGATCTGCCTGAGGCTGGGATCTGCTTGAGGCTGGGGTCTTGCCTGAGCCGGGGATCTGCCTGAGCCTGGGGTCTGGCAGAGTCTCCTTCTTCACTCAGATTCAGAATTCATGTGAGCCACAGTAGATTTTTCTTTCTCTTTTCTTTTTTTAATTTTTAAATCTCCCAAAGCATATCTTTTCTGAGGGAAAAGTAAATGTGCTCCATGCCTATCTTTCTGTCTGCCTCTTGTTTTCTCAAGGCCAAGTTCTCTACCATCTATAAAGAAAGAAAACATCTTTTCCTCTCAACCCAGGAAGCTTGCAGCTGGTCTCTGAGGCTTGGGGAACTGGGGTGGATTTCTGCAAACATGTATGCATTTTCTCTTTCTCCGCTACAAGGCAACCTTCAATACAAAAGCTACCAACCACCTCCCAAAAGTTAATCAGCTAACCTCAGAAACACAGAAAACGGGCCGGATCTGTCAAATGCTCTGTCATCTGTACAAACATATCCCAGTGCTACCCAGAGCCACATACCTGAGCACTTCACTCACAACAGAAGGACAGACCTCTTGCAGATCTGATTATGTCTGCCCACCCAGAACCCGGGCTGGTGGCTCCTTGCGGTCCCTGGAAACCTGTTACCACACAAGGGGTTAGAAAACCCTGAGCAAGCTGTGGAAGAGGCCGGGAGCCGTACTTTCCACAGAGAATTCCAAAGGGGATTCTGCGGCCTCCCACTCCAGGACCCAATTCTGATCTGCCCCTAAGTGTACACAGCACATTCATAGGGACTCCGCTGTCACTGTCTTTACCTCTGTAGAAATTGAGCCTCCTGCTTTTCAACAGCTGTTACAATGGTGGGAAGAATAATCTGAATCCATTAGCATATATTAAACAACCACTGTGGACCTAGTACTGTGACAAGCTCGTAAAAAACACAGAAAGAAACAGGAGACGAGGTACAACCTCAGTACCCTGAAATCCAAGGTGGACAGTACAGATGTACGCAGCACCAGACTACAAACAGAAGGTGGGATAATATGAAGCACAAATTTGTGTGGCAGTAACTCAGGCCCTCCTAACCCACAGCCAGGAGTCCTTGGGTAGCGCAAACAGTTAAGCACTGTACTACTAACTGAACGGTTGGCGGTTCAAACCCACCCAAAGGCACCTCAGAAGAAAACGTTTAGTGAACTGCCTCTGAAAGGTCACAGTCTTGGAAACCCTTGGAGCATAGTTCTACACACACATGGGTCACCGAGTCAGAATCGATTCTGTGGCAACTGGTGTGTGTTTTTGTTTCAACCCACAGTCTGCTCGTCCGTAAGCTCCCTTTTCCAGGAGCCAGGGTGGGCACGTTTTTCAGGAACATGGCTAACAGGATTTTGCCCAAGGCAATGGGGACACAGATGCAAGTTTTGAAGGGCAAAGTCAGATAAAAGCAGCTACAAGTCCTTTTCCCTTCCGGGTTTTCCTCCTGAACCAGGCACCATCAATGACAACGCTTGTCTCTTACGGAGAAGTGGTTCTGACTTGGCTACGTAAAGCTGCTTTTACCACAATGAGTATGAAGAGCCAGCTGTTGCCTCTGCTGTAACTCCATAACCGAGGTGCTAAGTGCTCTCAACTCTAAGAACAAAAGCTGTCCCGTTTTTGCCTGAAAGTTGTCAACCAACAGCAAAGATCCTATCTGTGAAAAGGTGGTTGAGTACTAATTGCTAGAAAAAGACATCCTGTTTGGTGAAGGAGACGTTCAGTGAAATGAGGAAAACCCTCAGTAAGATGGACTGACACAATGGACTCAGGCGAGCCAGCGGTCATGAAGATGGTGAAGGGCCCGGCAACGTTTCGTTCTGTTACACACGAGGTCGCCGTGAGCTGGAGCTGGCTTGACGACAGCTACCACCACCGTATCAGGCTAGGTCAGCCCCTTGGACCTAATTCATTACCCTTTTTGTTTGTCTCTCTTAAAGACAGGCCTCCGCTTCAATCTGTCTCCTTTGTCCATTTAGTGCCTGTCCCGCACAGTAATATAACACGTTCTGCGTGCCCAGAGCCCTTCTTCCCCCACCTGTGCCTGGTCCTAGCACAGCGTTAAAGCACAAACACTGTTTTATGAGGTGATTAACGAAGGCTTCCTCCAGGTTAAAACCGCTCTGATGGAGTCTCAAGACTCCTGTCCCATGCTGGCCCTGTGGCAGGCTGCCTAAATTCCCTTTTTTTTCCACCACCCTGTTCACCAAGCCAACTGCCCTCTTTTTTAATGTAAGGAGACCTCCAAAGATGCAGCTGTATTCAGATGGGATACTCACATTAGGGCCGGCCTGTGTGCAAGAGAAAAGATGGGTTGGAAGCCAACAGAATTACATGAATATATCAGAAGGAAGAGGTTCTTCTTCACGAATGGAGGGGAATACGTACCCCTTTTCAACTCCCTGTAACCTACAAAATGTTGAAGCTATTAATAAAAAAAGCCAAATGTACTATGGATGTGTGTGTGACATGAACTAGCTTTTATGGAGTTTTAAAATGCTACCTATCTGGGGCCATACGGAGAGATGGCAAGGGAGCGAAGAAGGAGAATGTTGAAGTCCAGTGTTCGGCGTGACAGGACTCCTCTGCTGGCGTTAGCTGCCATCAGGTCAGCACCAGCTCATGGAGACCTTACATACAGCACAACAAAGCACTGCCTCATGTTGCGCCATCTTCCTGAGCCCATTGCTGTGGCTACCGTGTCAATCCATCTCATTGAGGGTTTCCCTCATTTTCGCTGACACTCTACTTTACCGAACATGACGTCTTTTTCTAGTGACTGGTACTCTACTGCTGTTTCACGAAGGCCTGCTACAAGCCAGGCCCTGTGCTAAGCGCTGCTGGAACATTCCAAACACCTCAGTGAAAAAAAGCTTTGCTGTCCCTGAGCTTCTCTCTCCCTCCCAGACCCCAGTCAAATACAAGATGTCGAAGGAGCTTACTTACATAAATGATCCGCTGCCAAGAACCCAGGTCAAAAGAAAATGACGGGTAAACCTTGAGACTTACCCCACGTCCGAAGTTCTGAAAGCAGAACTCTGGGGCTCCCCGTGGCTTCTAGGGGTGCCTCGGCGGTTCTCGGAGTCACTCAGGCATCGTCTCCCCAGGAATTTCTTACTCGGGACGAAGGCTGCAGGATCATTCTCATACCCGTTCAACATGCCGTGGCCACCTCGAGTCCTCGTCACATCAGGCCGATGGCCCTCATAGCTGTCCTCACGTGGTGCTGGGGGGTTTCGAGACAATTTGTATCCGTGAGAAATCAGGAGGTCTTCCACGCTGTACATGGTGCGCTGGGTTCATCAAAGCTCAGTCGCTAGAAACATCTTGGTGGCAGGATCCATCACTGTGGGGGGGGAACAGAGAGCTTTGTCTGTGAGGGGTCACCATGCCTCCATCAAACTGAGTCTGACCCCCCCTCCTCCCCGTACACGCACCAAAGTAGACAATGACGGATGAACACAGGGTCTCTGTAGATAAAGAAGAAATGTGGATTGTTCTACCTGCAGCCACGCTCCATCTTACTCATGGAGAGTGGGTGCATGCCACATTGTCTCTACAGGATGTGGGAGTAATTCTGAGGATTTCACTCTCCGATGAATGCCTCTTGTAGAAGATTCTGGAATAGGGTTTAAGCAATGAAATGATTAACCGTGTCCACCATCCTGTTGCCCCACTCATCTAAAAACAACAGGCATGCAGAGTGAGGACAGAATAAATACAGACTCTGACGCTGCAATTACTGCTTCACATTTCTAAGAAAGAGAAGCTACCAGCGTCCAGCTGCATCTTAGCTACATGTCCCTGCTTTCCTGCTGCAGACATACCTCTGGCTGGAAAAGAGCAGAGCGCGATCTTTAATCAACTGCTCTGAAGGAAGCAGGCTAAATGGCAATTGCCAGGGACTCTACCACATGGTGGTTAACTAGCATCTGAAAATAGACTTTAAGGCTTCAGGCTCCTAATGAGAAGACAAACAGCACATTCATCAAGCATACACACCCCGCCCACTGCACAATCTGAAAGTTCTCCTTTCCACATGAAACATTTGAGAGTCAAATTCTGCCCCAGTGGGTCTTGGCTTTGGAAAAGCTTGGCACCTCTGAGTCCAGTGTGTCCATTCCCAACACCTGCCACAGTACATTAATTCAACAGCAGCGGCTTCCCCGGGAGTAAGCCACCCAAAGGCCACCGTACCAACAGAGAAGACTAAAAATGGACAGACACCGACTTCAGAGCGCATGTGCGAAAAGAGGTGGGGCAGCTCTGCTTATTTTCACACGAGAGAGCCACATTTCCTAAGTCTTCCCTTTGTTAATAGGGTGGGCACAGATTTGGGTTGGATGGCATCTGCCGTGGCCTCCGCAGAGAGAGTGAGTCACTCCACAAAGGTTGTGACTCTGCATGGGCAAGCGACGCACCACGGCCAGGCTCTCCTGAGAGTGCGGCCAGCTCCAGCCACTCCAGGCAGTGGACGGAAACAGGGCTGCCGCAGGCACCAGGAACAATGGCCAGGAAATGCCTGCTGGCCGCTGTGCAGGTGAAAGGAAGGCGCGTGGGCTTCCTGTCGCTGGGAATTCTCGCTGGGGTCCATCACACAGCTCTGCTGATTGTGCGTGCTCCCCCCTTCACGTGTGAGACTATGGCGGCACCAAAGCCCCAGCTGTCAGCAAGGAGAGTGTCACACTTCTGAGGTCTATAACTTTCCATTAGGTACCCAGACCTCATGGAAGGTGGACAAGCTCTAATGGGCAAATCTCCATAGCAACTGCGCCATTCCTGACACACTCCTGCTATGTCTTCTAGGGAGTTGTCTGGCTTGGTTCATTCCCTTAGACAGAAATGCAAGGACCAGAGAAGCAAGCATTTGTTCCTTTATGCAGTTGAGCAAGTCACTGGGCTAGTACGGTGAGGACAGAAATCCTATCACAAAGGCCACGCAAGTCCTACTACAGAGGTGTGCAGAGAATGCTGCGGCGCATAGGATGCGAGAGTGACGAAGGCACGCTCTGTTTTGTTCAGTTCTGTATCCCTAGCTTCTAGCACAGTATGCTCTCAATAAATGACGCCGACTGAATGCATGGGTGAGACCAAGCGACGTTTGACCTGGGTTTTGAAGGATGATTAGGAGTTCGTTAGATAAATTGCATGTATATGTGTCCGAGGGGGGACCTGGCATCTTGAATAGACTTTGAGTACAATTACACCAAGAGTAAAGAAATGGCTGAGCAACAGAACTCCGGTGATGCAGTGGTGAAGAGCTTGGCTGCTGACCGAAAGGTCGGCGGTCTGAATCCACCAGCCGCTCCTTGGAGCAGTTCTGCTCTGTCCTATAGGGTCTCTATGAGTCAGAATCCACTCAAGGACAATGGGTTTTTTTCGTTTTGTTTTTTGTTTTTTTCAGTAGGCCAGGGTCCCCAGACCTACCGGCTCAGTGTTACACATCCAGTCAACACGACAGTTAGGGTTTAGGTCTTAGACACGCAGTTTCTTTCTCTTACTGCTTCAGGCTCGTAAAAGAGAAGCAAATTACACTGCACTCAAACTGGCCACCTAACACAGCGAGGCCCAGGCCAGAGTCCAGCCTGCAGCTGGCTGGTGCTGCAGTTCATCTGTTAGGGTATCAAAGAAGAAATGGCCCTCACAACATACGTATGTCACTGTTGGCATTAGGGGCGTCAAGTCAATTTTGACTCACGGTGCCCCCATGGGAGCCCATGTGTGCAGAGTAGCGCTGCTCCATAGGGTTTTCAAGGCTGTGATCTTTCGGAAGCAATTGCCAGGCCTGTCTTCCGAGGCACCTCTGGGTGGGTCTGAACTGGCAACCTTTAGGCTAGTACAGTGGTCGAGCGCTTAACTGCTGGGGATAGGTAAGCTGATCCAATAAGGCTAAGTTAGCACGGTGATTATATTACCTTAAATGGCAGGATGCCCCAGGGGGAGCCAAAAACATCTTTCAAAAACGATTCAAACTCACAAAAGTCACACTGTGACCTTAAAGGTGAAAAGTCTTTGAATTGCTGGAAACTCCTCACTTGTTTTTATCTCTCAGAGGCCGACAGGACACGAGAGTACAAAGTACGAGTACCTCAGTCCAGAGCGCACAGAGCTGGCAGGACAGAGAGCTGCCGCATGGGGCACAAGCACAGCCCTGTGGAGAACCCACAGGATGGCTCCCCAGCCATCATTCAAGGTCACAGATAGCTTCTCGTCCCTGGGCTCACACTCTCACCTTCTCCACCACCTCCCCCCTGCACCATCTCCACACCCCGCTCAACCTGAACCTCCTCCCCATAACAAACGTCCCCGACTTGTGCCAATCCTCACCACGGTCAGCTTGCTGTCACTGCATCTCTATCTTCTTAAGATGGAATGGGCTGCCTCACGGGGGAGCGGGCATGCTGTCACTAACACATCAATTACAGCAGCCCCTGTGAGGCAACGCTGGGAAGACCTGGGCATTCAGAGTGTCGCTGGACCAGAAGGATGGCCCTGTTGATGTTTCTTTCCACGGTTAGCTAGAAGCTTAGGGGGCAGGGAGTTTATATTCATGGTGGAGGAATATTGCAGAGAAGGAGGATGGGAATGGTGGCAAACGTGGAGAATGTAATCTGTCACTGAACTGTGCGCGTAGAAATTGTTAAGTGGGTATATGTTCTGCTGTGTATATTTTCAACAACAACAAAAAAATGAATTATTTGAGTAAATAAAAATAAACTTTCTTTCCAATCTGATACCAGTCTTCTAAATCAACAGCCCTGAACTCTATCACCCACGTGTTACTCATTAAAAAAAAGCATAATCATAATTCCCGTATTAACTAACTCAAAGGGTTGCTGTAAAGAGCAAACATTCCCCCAAATCGACAAAATGTAACCTATTGTGGCTGTTATTATAAGATTACACTTCACACCTGGTTGTATGCATAGTCAAAACAGCACAGCTTTGGGTGGGATCCTGGATTCCAATCCCAGTTCTAGGGCTGACACGCACTGTCAGTTTGTCGTATTGTGCTGGCTTGCGTGTTGCTGTGGTGCTGGAAGTGATGCCACCGGTATTTCAAATACCAGCAGGGTCACCCATGATGGACAGGTTTCAGCAAAGCATCCAGACTAAGACAGACTAGGAAAAAGGACCCATTAGTCTACTTCTGAAAAGAATTAGCCAGTGCAAACTATGAAGAGCAGCAGAACATTGTCTGGTATAGTGCCAGAAGATGAGCCCCTCCGGTTGGAAGGCACTCAAAATACTACTGGAGAAGAGCTACCTCCTCACAGTAGAGTTGACCTTAATGACATGGATGGAGTAAAGCTTTCAGGACCTTCATTTGCTGAGGTGGCATAACTCAAAATGAGAAGAAACAGTTGCAAACATCCATTAATAACAGGAATGTGGAATGTGGAATGTACAAAGTATGAATCTAGGAAAATTGCAAGTCATCAAAAATGAAAAATGAAACATCAGTATCCTAGGCATCAGTGAGGTTGAAATGGACTAGTATTGGCCATTTTGAATCAGACAATCATATATGGTCTACTATGCTGGGAATGACAAATTGAAGAGGAATGGCATCGCATTCATTGTTAAGAAGAACATTTCAAGATCCATCCTGAAATACAATGCTGTCAGTGATAGGATAATACCCCTAAGCCTACAAGGAAGATCAGTTAATATGACTATTATTCAAATTTACTCACCAAACACTAATGTCAAAGCTGAGGAAATTGAAGATTTTTACCAACTTCTGCAGTCTGCAATTGATTAAACATGTAATCAAGATGCTTTGGTAACTACTGGTGATTGGAATACAAAAGCTGGAAACAAAGAAGAAGGATCTGTAGTTGGAAAACATGGCCTTGGTACAGAAATGATGCCAGAGATCGCATGGCAAAATTTCATAAGACCAATGACTTATTCATTGCAAAGGCCTTTTTTCAACAGTATAAATGGTGACTATACATGTGGACCTCACCGGATGGAAAATGTAGGAATCAAATCAACTACATTTGTGGAAAGAGACGATGGAGAACCTCAATTATCATCAGTCAGAACAAGGCCAGGGACCGACTGTAGAACAGACCATCAATTGCTAATATATAAGTCCAAGTTGAAGCTGAAGAAAATTAGAACAAGTCCACAAGAGACAAACCACATCCTTGAGTATATCCCACCTGAATTTAGAGCCTATCTCAAGAATAGATTGGACCCACTGAACACTACTGACCGAAGACCAGACGAGTTGTGGGATGACATCAAGGACATCACACATGAAGAAAGCAAAAGGTCATTAAAAAGGCAGGAAAGAAAGAAAAAAACAAAATGGATGTTAGAAGAGACACTGAAACT